ATCTTCAACATTGTCTTGTCCCTTCTTAAAACAACTTATCTATTTGTAAACTGCTGATGTCTTTGGGGCATTGTCCCTATAAACTCTTTGTAAAGCATCAATGATTTCACCTTTCTTCCCCCCAAACTTTACCATAAATTTGATGTTTGTTCTTGCTTCAAATTTAGCAGAATCCGTGTTGTTCTGATAGGGGCTCTTTCCAAATTGATGTTTTATCCTTCTTATTGCCTCAAACTGGATCCTGTTCAGACATATTATAACAAGTTAGTATGAGTTTATTTTGGTGCAAACGAAGTTTGCAATCCATGCATTCTTTTTCTAGAACATGCATTTTCCATGAACTTTTTGAGGATCCTGTATTAGTCCATTTTTGTGTTGCTATAACAGAATACTTGAGACTGGGTAATTTATAAAGAAGAGGTTTATTTGGCTTATAGTTCTGGGACAGCCACATCTGGCATGGGCCTCAGGCTACTTCTACTCATGGTGAAAAGAGGCAGACAGCTGGCAGGTACAAGCAGATCACATGGTCATTACAGTCCATATTTCTATCAGTGTTCTGCCCACCACCATTTAGCCAGTTTCTAAAAAGTTTCAAATCTTCCCTGGTTTTCTTATCTTCTATACTTTCACCAGCATGTAGGCTTTTTCTAGCCTGTTCCTCCAAATTCCTACAGCCTCTCCACCCCACTCCTGTTACCAATTTTCTGTATTAGTCATTTCCATTGCTCATAACAAAATACCTGAAACTGGGTGATTTATAAAGAAAAACAAAATGTATTGCTCACAGTTTAAGAGGCTCAGAAGTGCAAAGTCCAGGGAACACATATAGTGAGGGTCTTGGTGGTGACTTTAGTGGCACAGGGTATCACATTGTGAAATGGCAGAGCAGAGACAGCAGAGAGAGAAAGACAGACTATCCTCTCTGTTCTTTTAAAGCCCTCAGAACTGTGACCCTGACCATCATTTTTAATCCATTCATTACTGCATGGTCCTACAATCCAATCATCTCTTCAAGGCTCTGCCTTTCAATTATGGTAATAGGATTTCCCACCCTCTTAACAGTCACAGTTGGGGCCAAGTTTCTAATACACAAAACTTGGGGGACATAATTCAAACTTCAGTGAGTTGTGGGGGAACATAATTCAATCCACTACAGACCCCTTGTATATTTTCTTGTGTGTGTGTATATATATATATATATATATATATATTGTGTGTGTGTGTAATCTATGTGTATTAGGTTTTGTGCATGTGTATATATATATATTTCATAACCAAGAAGCTATACAGGAACAAGTTAATGCATTTGACCACATCAAAATGTAAAATATTATGAATATCAAAAAATATAATAAAATTAAGATGTTAGTTACAAATTGGGAGAATATATGTGCAACTTTTAGAATAGAAAAATAACTAATATACAGAAATGTACAAGGAAGTACAAATCAGTGAGAAAAATACAGCTAAATAGAAAAATACGCAAAGGATATTAGCAACTAATTCTCAAAGAATAAATGCAAATGACCAATAAGCTTCTGAAATGATGCTTAAGATAATAGGTATTTAGGAAAATGTGAAATAAAATGACAATCTGATGCTTTATTTGCCTCTTATATTGGCACTAATTACTAATATACAGTATGCATGAGAGTTTGGGGAAATAGGTCCTGTCATATGCTTGATGGGGGTGTAAATCGACCCGGCCTTTTTGGAGGGCAGTTTGGTCATATATCCATTAATTATATAAAGTCTCATATTCTTCTTTTAGCAATATCAAATGTATAAAATCTCACACCTTTGACCAAACAGTTCTATTTATAGTAGGATATCCTAAAGAAATTCTTCCACTTGTGGGCAAAGCTGTATGTAACAAGTTATTCATTGTAGCCTTGTTTTTATTAGCCCCACACCCAGAATAATTTTATGTTAATCAAGCAGGGGGTGTATAAATATACAGTAGCGTAAACAAACTATGGAATAGTATGCAGCAATTAAAAGGAATGAAGCAGCTTTAAATGTACTGGCATGTGGAGCTCTTTGAGATATAATTTTAAGTGGAAAAAAGTCACAAAACAGTATGTAAAATATGATCCTATTTATATATTTTAATAAGACATATCTGTGTATGTAATGTATAGAAAAGGATTTAACACACCAAAGTTGTACCAACAGAGTGGTAACTGTGATGTGGATGAGGATAGTGGAGTTAAAGCAATACTTTGCGCTTTTTCTGGGTTTGAGCCTTATTAGAATGTATTTTTGTGGAATTTGTATGTAACTACAGAAAATAAACAGAAAATAATAAAATACCTTAATCATCTTTCCATTGGGATACATAGTCCTAACTCTTCTTTTTTATCAGCCACATGGTATAAATATAACATAATTTCTTTAATTGCTCGCCTATTGATGGCCATTTTATATTGTTTCAGGTTTTTTTTTAACCATTACCAGCACTGCAAGAAATATCCTACCATATATATCTTTGCCAAACTGTGTAGGTATATAGGTTGGCTAAATACCAAGGAATAAAATTGCTGGGTCAAAGGATTTATGCGATATTATATTTATCACTTAACAGAGTTTGCCAAATTGCCCTTCATAAAAAGGTTGCATCAGAATATCTGCCTCCAGTATAGTGTGGGAGTGCCCATTTCCCACAAACTAGTCAACAATGTTATCAAATTTCTAAATTTTGACAAACTCACAGCTGAAACATGGTAAGGCATACTTGTTTTGATTTGCATTTTTTTGAAGTTGAGCATCTTTTCATATGTTTATTAGTCATTTGTATTTCTTTTCTGTGAACAAATCTGTTCATGTCTTTGGCACACTTTTCTATTGTTTTTTTAACCATTTTAAAAAATGATTTGTAAGAGTTTTTAGATTATTGCAAACTAGCCCTCTGACATTCAATGCTAAGTTTTTATTTTATTATTTTTTTAAACTACTGAAGTTTTAAATTTTTATGTAATCAATTTATCAATCTTTTCCTTTGGAGGAGAAAGTAAGTTTGTCATGGGAAATTGAGTTCTGAAAAGCCATTAATAAGGTTGTATGGTACTATGGGCTCCCTGGCTCACCTCCTGAAAGCTCTTCACACACACAGGGGCCCCTCACGGGGTAGTGGGGCCTCCGCTGGGGTGTCATATTTCAATGTTCTAAGAAGAGGCTGCCAGGAGGTTCTATATTTAGAGTATGACTCCACAGCAGGGACAGGTGGATGTCTGGGGACTAACTCCTGCATACTTTGTCCCTGAGTTCTAGGATTATTCTGAGGGGCTTGTAGAGGTGAAGTTGTAATAGAAATCAGGGAATAAAAAGGCTATTTCCTCCTGGCGACTGCTTGGAATCCTGTACCTTGTCTTTCCATTTGTGAGGGGGAAATGACATGGACATCAGGAGTGTTGCAGCGATTCATTGTCATCCACAGACCTTCACCACCATCTCCACTGGAAGTGCTGGACGCTCCCACTGGTAGGGTGACATATACTACATGAATGTCCGATACTGGACAGATCTCACCAGTGTCATTATGGAATGAAAATTCCACTTGTTGAGCCTTCTTTCCATCTGTGAGGGGGCAGTTATTCTTTTCACGGGTGTGGTGAGATTGATTTGATTACATGCGTAATAAAATCCAAATAAAACCCTTTGAATGGAAAATGAATGGGAAAGTGTCTCAAGAGGGAAATATAGAGACTGAGATCCTCATCCTCTCTAACTCCAATCAAGTTAATCTGTGAAGTCTCTAGTTTGTAAGGCACTGGGTTCATCAGGAGTTGGATCGTCATTAAATCACCCCGGAGTCATCTCGGAAGAAGTTCTTAGACACCTGACAGGGGACCATAAGTTCAGCTAGAACTTCAAAAGTTTATAAACCACTTGTGTAAAATTGCAAAGATTAGAAAACTGAATGTCTTTCCAAAGATTAATTTATAGATTACTTTGAAAACGTGCTGGTTTTGTTTAGGAAAATTTTGTATTTAAAATGTCAATAATTACTAATTTGTTTTGAAAGCATTTTTAATGTGGCACAAAATAATGTAAACAAATAAACGAGTCTTTTGTTATTTTTACAACCTGAATATTTTTTTAAGTCAAATGAAAATGGCTTTACCGATTACAATAAATAAATAAATAAATAATAAGATGTTAAAAGGAAAAAAAAAAAAAAAAAAAAAAAGATTTTAAAAGAAAAAAAAAAAAAAAAAAAAAAAGATTTTAAAAGAAAAAAAAAAAAAAAAAAAAAAAGATTTTAAAAGAAAAAAAAAAAAAAAAAAAAAAGAACATATAAAAGAAAGCTAAGGCTCTGCTTGCTCTCTGCTTTCCTTCCTGATAACCCGGTCCCTAGCCCATCTGGTGCGAAGGGCAGGTTGTGTAGGGGGCAGGTTGGAAACGTTGGTTTCATAGCGTAAGAGGGAGACATCTGATTATTTTAGTTCTCTCTGAAGATTTATTTCACAGATCATTTTCATAATACCGACTGTGTTCAGGAAGAGTCTTTCTTTTTTGTTCCCCCATAAAATTTTCAAACAAACTAGAATGCTTTAAAAATGATGGTGTGTGGAATCCAAACAAAATATTTTCTGCGTGTACAGGTGAATATAAACAGTAATTTCGTTTTTGTTGTTTGTTTGTTTGTTTGTTTCTTACTTCCCCAGGTTGAAGCAATTCCTTTGAAGAAAAATTTCATAATATTCAATTTTTTGAGGCATGCTTATTTAAGAAAAGGAAATGTGGAGAAATTATTAAGAAGCATATATACAGCCAGGGAGAAGTAGAAAGAAAGCAGAAAAGGCCAAGGCCAAAGCCAGGGATGGGGGTACAGACTTTCCTTGGTAACAAGAGAAGGGCAAACTCCAACCGTAAGACGGTGATGCCACCTGTGGGCTCTCAGATTGGAGAGGACCGAGAAGACTGGCAGGGCTGTGCGCGCTCAGGCACCGCACGCAGACAGGCCGGGTACTGAGGCTGTGCGTGTGCAGGCGGCGCGGGGGGAGGGTTCCTGCTGCAGTGGCCTCCTGAATTGGGGGGCGAGCTCGGCGCTGACGCGCGGCCCTCACGTGACCTGGAGCTGCAGAGCGACGCAGCCTTCGGTGCAGTCGTCATTCCCGTCTGGCTACCAGCTCCCCGCTGCCCTGCGCACGGCGGGCTGGCACGGGGCCTGGGGAAAGCGGAGCAGGTAAGGGCCCCGGCCCCGCTCGCGGAGCCCTGGGCTTCGGCTACTTACCCACCCCCGCGGCGGGCGCAGGGATGGGGGGTCTATGCTGGCTCAAGTTTGAGGAGCCTTCTCCTCTGATTCTCCGGAGTCCCCCTGCCCACCCCCCTCCCACCCTCCCATCTGTGCAGGGAAATCGTGGGCTTTGACAGGGCGGCTGGTGGGGAGAGTGTCTCAAGAGGGAAATACAGAGACTGAGATCCTCATCCTCTCTAGCTCCGATCACTGACCACACATGTCCACTCGCTTCCTGCTCATTTCAGTGGAAGGGACACGCCACGGTGGCGTTCTCAGAGAAAATGGTGGGCCTTAGTGACTGGACGGCGGGCTTGGTAGGGGTGGGGTCTTGGAATGTGGGGAGGGACGTTTGACAACCAGGTTCCTGAATCCGGAAGGCCAATATTGGAATCTGTGGTCTGGGTGTTGGTCCAAGCACTCTGTGTCTTTACTCTCACCAGTCTGTCGGACAGGAGTTCGGTGTGGCACGGTTTGTGGTGAGGCGAGGGGAGAAGGAGAGGAGAAAACTGCACAGGATCCATGGAGGTTAGTGTGAACTCGGGCACTGTCTGTGAGCCACTCAAGTTCTGTCTGAATTCTATGACAGGAACTTAGGCACCGCTATCTGATCGGAATGTAGGGTGGGGCTAGCTAGGAAACTTTCTAAACTGAGTTTACTTACCAAGCTTAGGACTTTTAACTTAAATTCTGTGTTGAAGACAGATAGAGACAACAAACTTTTCTACCGATGCTTTTATTTGCACTTTAAATAATTTATTGAGAAAATATGAATGGTTGTATCAAAGAATATACAATATTACTTTTTTTTTTTTTTGAGATAGCCTTTGTGGGGAGGGAGGGACAGTGATTTCGCAAAAGCAGAAGCCTTCCCCTACACCTGTCTCTTCTGCTGGAGTCTCCGAGAGGTGGGCTTAAGAGGAAGCAGATGGCAGCAGGCTGTGATTCTAGAGTATGGAATCTGGGGGCCTCCATCTTCCTTGTTATCCTCCAGCTTTCCAGATACTCCCACCTACCTGACCATCTTGCTGAAGGAAATGATGGACCTTTGGGTGAAACCCTAGAACTCTACAGGTGGTTTTAAAATAATTTGTCTCTGCCTCTCCACTTTTACTTTTCCTGCCTCCCTTTTCCACCCTGCGCATTTCAGTGCTGGGGGAGCCCCAGGCTCTGCCTGCAGGAGATGGGTCTCTAAATCCAGACAACCCATAGTTGTCTTAGATGCTAGGACGTCACAAGCATTCAACACTCTCCTCCCCTTTTCTCTGTTTGTTCCTTCCCATAGGCCTGCAGTAGGGCTGTTTACCGCTGAAAGCAAGAGAAAGAGGGGAAGGCTGGCCTGGAACCATGCAGGTGGGTGTGAAGATGGGCAGTGCCACGGGATGACAAGAAAGGTGGGCACAGCAGGTGGTGATACTTGGTAGGGTCTCATTTGAGGGCACTTCTGCCTCACTTTCACTCTGATGGATTTCCACAGTGCTGCCGCACCCCCTATTGACTTCAGTGAAGGAAACAGTAGGAATATTGGGGTAAGGGTGGGCTGGAGTGTGACTGAGAGAAGACTTTGGGGGGACCACGAGATGAAACACATTAGCAAGCTGGATCAGGGCCCTGGCAAGGCAGGCATTGGGGTTAGGAATCAGGGTACTTGTCTGTTCTACCAAATACTTGGTCTCCATTACTTTCTGTTTGTTTACTTGTTCGTAGATCTGCCTGCATGTCTGCTGTGGGGTTTGAGGTCACTGGAAACAAAGAAGCACGGAGAAAATTGCCCCTGATCAATATAGACTGGTAAGAGGGTGGGGACTGCCCGGGTAGACCTCTAGGGTGGGTTGGTGGAGAGCAGCGTGCATCCAATAAGGGCCATTGTCCAGTCTGGAGGTTCCTTATTCTCTTCCTTTCCCAGCCACCCTCTCACCTTCCCTGTCACTTACCCCACACCCTCACCTTAATTCTGGCACATGGAAAAGAATGTGATGGCATCTTTGGGAATGGGGTGAACTGAGAAGAGTAGAGAGGTAGTTTGCTAGTAATATGCCTGTCCCATCAGAACAAACCCTCCACTCCCATCTGTCCCTCCATCTGTCTGTCTGTGTCTATCTGTCTCTAGGTCCAAAGATCCCATGAGTTTATACGCTGCATCTACTTTAGGGTGTATCACCAAGCAAGAGGAGGAAAGAGGAGGGAACAGTCTCAGATCATTACAGGTTGGTATAAGGGTGGGGACTTGTGGGAGTGGTGACCAGAGCAGGTCATGTAAAAATCAAAGTCTGGGGGCTTCTTGTTCTCTCCCTTTCATTGTCAGCCCTCCCACCATCCTTCCCACTGTCCATTTGGTGTATGGAAGTACTTTGAGGGAAAATTGTTGGGAATTGGGGAAGGTGGGTAGAGGATGAAATAAGAGAGATCCAGAATTTGCTAATCATCCTTTTTTCCCACCAAGCACATAATTTCTACCCTATCCTATCCCTTTGTGTATCTATCTGTATGATGCAACAGAATTAGAAGAGAAATTTTAGTCCATTTCCTTCCTCCACTTCTAGGTCCACTTCCAGTCGCAGCTGTAGTGGCCTTTGAATGGCTGAAGACCAGCACCCTCACAGGCCTACACCCAGACCTATCATCCTCTTTCCCCAGCCCGAGTGAGCCCCCTGTACCTTGTTCGTGCCTTCAGCAGGGGTGATTACATGGGCCGCATTCAGGAATTGGGCTGGGTGACTGCAGGACTGGTGATCTGGGCAGGCACCTGCTACTACATTTACAGATTAACCAAGGGAAGAGCCCAGAGTGTGAGGAGACTTGCCAGAAATGGGTCCAGAGTCAAGATGGAGACTGTGGTTGGGGTACAGAACCAGACCTTGGCCATGAGTGAAGCCATGGCTGGCGCAGAGGTTGAGACTAGACCCAAGGCCAAGACTGGAGCAGAAACTGGAACAGGAGGTGGGCCTGGGGATGAAGTAGAGACCAAGATCACTGCTATAGTGAGACCCAGAGACAGCTCTCTGGCCAAGGCAATGGCTGGGGCAGAGGCAGAGACCCAATCTAAGGCCAAAGAGGTGGCTGGAACAGTGGTTATGACAGAAGCAGTGACTCTGACTGAGGCCAAGGCAAAATTTGCTGAAGTTGCCATGAAAGAGGCAGTGACCCAAACTGATGCTGAGGCTGGGAGAGTAGTCAAGAAAGAGGCAGTGACTCAGACCAAAGCTAAAGCAGGGGCACTGGTTCCCAGGGCAGAGGCCAAGAAAGAAGCAATGACTCAAACCAAAGCTGAAGCCCGCATATTGGCTGAAAAAGAGACAGAGATTAATAGAGTAATTGTGACACAGAGTGAGGCCTTGGCAGAGACCAAGGAAGTGACCAAGATGTGGGCCACGAACAAGACTGAAATTGTGGCTGAGACCAAGGCAAGAGCTCTGGAAGAGACTGTGAGTGTGGCTAAGACTCAGTCTGAGGTCAGGCCTGGTGCCACAGTTGATGCTAGGGGAAATTTTAATGGCATTTCTGGGTCAGTGGCTGGAGTGGATGTGAAGTCCTGTGCACAGTCTCAGGCTGTGGCCGAGATCCAGGGTGATAACATGCCTGGTGCTGGGGCTGAAGACAAGGAGAATTGCAAAACCATGCCTGGAGCAGGGTCTGGGGCAGACATGAGGGCTTCTGCTCAACCTCAAATTGTTGCCAAGGCCCACACTGAGGCCATGCCTGGGGCAAGGGTTGATGCTGGGGATAATACCAATGCCATATGTAAGGTAGGGGCAGGGGCAGATATGAGAGCTTGTGTCCAACCTCAGATTGTGGCCAAAAAACAGGCTGAGGCAACGTCTGGTACCAGGGTTGATGGTAGGGGAAATATCAGTGTCATAACTAAGGCAATGACTGGAGCTGAAAAGAAGGCTGCTGCTCAGCCTCAAGCTGTAACCAGTGCTCAGGCTGAGGCCACGCCTGATGCCAGGGTTAAGGGTAGAGGCAATCCCAATGCCCTGGCTAAAGCAGGGGTCAAGGCAAACTTGAGGGCCAATTCACAGGCTGAGGCCTTGCCTGATACCAGGGATAAGACCAGAGGCAATACTGTTATCATGGCTAAAGCAGGGGCTGGGACAGACGTATTGTCCTGTACTCAGCCTCAGCCTGTGGACAATGTACAGGCTGATGCCTTGCTTGATGGCAGAATTAAGGCTAATGGCAATGCCGACACCATGTCTAAGGAAGGAGCTGGAACAGACACGAAGGCACAGCCTCAGGCTACAGCCCAGAGCCAAGGTGAAGCCTTACCTAATACCAGAGGTAAGGCTAGGGGAAAAGCCAAAGCCAAAGGTAAAGCAGGGGTTGGGACAAACATGAAAACCTGTGCACAGCCTCAGAGTGGAGCCAGGACCCAAGCTGAGGCCTTACCTGATTCCACGGTTGATGGTAGGGGCAACCCTAATGCCATTTCTAGAGCAGGGGCTAAGGCAGACCAGAGGGCTTGTGGTCAGCCCCAGGCTGTGGCTAATTCCCAGGGCGAGGATTTGCCTGGTTCCAAGAATAAGGTCAGGGGCAATCCCAATGCTGTGCCTAAGGCAGAGGCTGGGGCAATTACAATGGGTTCTGCCCAGTCCCAGTCTGTGGCCAGTTCCCAGGTTGAGGCCTTGCCTGGTGCCAAGAATAAGGTCAGGAGCAATCCCAATGCTGTGCCTAACACAGAGGCTGTGGCCAGTACAGTAGCCTCTGCCCAGCCCCAGGCTGTGGCCAATTCCCAGGGTGAGGCTTTGCCTGGTACCAAGAATAAGGTCAGGGGCAATCCCAATGCTGTGCCTAAGGCTGGGGCTGGGGCAGATACAATAGGCTCTGCCCAGTCTCAGGTTGTGGCCAGTTCCCAGGGTGAGGCCTTGCCTGGTGCCAAGAATAAAGCCAAGGGCAATTCCAATGCTGTGCCTAAGGCAGGGGTTGAGGCAGTTACAATGAGCTCTGCCCAGCCCCAGGCTATGGCCAATTCCCAGGGTGAGACCTTGCCTGGTACCAAGAATAAGGTCAGAGGGAACCCCAGTGCTGTGCCTAACACAGAGGCTGGGTCAAGTACAATGGGTTCTGCCCAGCCCCAGGCTATGGCCAATTCTCAGGGTGAGTCCTTGCCTGGTGCCAAGAATAAAGCCAAGGGCAATCCCAATGCTGTGCCTAAGGCCGGGGCTGGGGCAGATACAATGGGCTCTGCCCAGCTTCAGGTTGTGGCCAGTTCCCAGGCTGAGGCCTTGCCTGGTGCCAAGAATAAGGTCAAAGGGAATCCCAATGCCGTGCCTAAGGTAGGGGTCGGGGCAGATACAACGGACTCTGCCCAGCCTCAGGTTGTGGCCCATTCCCAGGGTGAGGCCTTGTCTGGTGCCAAGAATAAAGTCAAGGGCAATCCCAATGCTGTGCCTAAGGCAGGGGCCAGGGCAGATACAATGGGCTCTGCCCAGCCACAGGCTGTGGCCAGTTCTCAGTGTGAAACCTTGCTTGGTGCCAAGAATAAGGTCAAGGGCAAGTCTAATGCTGTGTCTAAGGCAGGGGCTGGGGCAGATACAATGGGCTCTGCCCAGACTCACGTTGTGGCCAGTTCTCAGCGTGAGGCCTTGCCTGGTGCCAAGAATAAGGTCAAGGGCAATCGCAATGTTGTACCTAGGGCAGGGGCTGGGGCAGGTACAACAGGATCTGCCCAGCCTCAGGTTGTGGCCAGTTCCCAGGCTGAGATGTTGTCTGGTGCAAAGAACAAGGTCAAGAGCAATCCCAATGTTGTGTCTAAGGCAGGGGCTGGAGCAGATACAACAGGCTCTGCCCAGCCCCAGGCTGTGGCCAATTCACAGAGTGAGACCTTGCTTGGTGCCAGGAATAAGGTCAGGGCCAATCCCAGTGCTGTGCCCAAGGCAGGGGCTGGGGCAGGTACATTGGGCTCTTCCCAGAGCCAGACTGTGACCAATTCCCAGGGTGAGACCTTGCTTGGTGCCAGGAATAAGGTCAGGGGCAATCCTAATGCTATGGCTAAAGCAGGGGCAGGGGCAGGTAGAAGGAGTTCTGCCCAAAGGCAGACTGTGGCCAATTCCCAGGGCGAAACCTTGCCTGGGGCACGGGACAAGGCTATGCCCAGATCTGAGGCAGAAGCCATAGCAGAAGATGTTGTCTATGCAAAACCTGAGGCTGAGGCCGTGCCCACTTCTGAGAGTGAAGGTGGGTCAGATGCTCAGGCCTGCAGAAAGACTCAGCCTAACATCCATGACTACTACTGGAATGGGATTGGTGTTGAGGACTGGATTGCTGCTGAGCGGTGGATCAAATTTAGGTTTCAGGCCATGGATGGAGACTGGGAGAATAGCATGTCCTGGGCTGATGATGAGAATGAAGCCAATATTGTGTCCTGGAGTGGGGCTAGTGATAAGGCTGGTGTTATTGGGTCCTGGGCTGTGGCTTGTGATGAGGCCAGCATTAAGTCCTGGGCTGGGGCTAGGGCTGAGAATGAGGTTGGTGTTGGGTCCTGGACCGGAGCTGGGGACCAGGCCAGTGGAGGGGTCTGGGCTGGAGGTCAGACTAGTGAGGGGTCCTGGGCTGGGGACAAGGCCAGTGGGGGTTCTTGGACAGAGACTGAAAACAAGACTATTGTGGGGTCCTGGACAGGGCATGAGAACCAGGCCAATGGGGGGTCTTGGGTTATCTCTGGGAATCAGGCCATTGGAGGGCTCTGGGCTGGGGGTCAGGCCAGTGAGGGGGCCTGGCCTGGGGGCCAGGCCAGTGGGGTGTCCTGGGCTGGAGAAGAGGCCATGGGAGGGTCCTGGATTGGGGTTGGGAACCAGGATAGTGGGGGGTCTTGGATTGGGGCTAGTGCTGCGACTATGGGTAGTGTTGTGTATTGGGCTGGGACTGTGGACCAGGCTAGTATAGCGTCCTGGACTGGGATTGGTGATCAGTCTGGTGATGGATCCAAGCCTAGACTTGAGGATCAGGCCAGTGAACAAGGGTCCTGGGCTGGAGCTGGTGGCCAGGCTAGTGGAGGGTCCAGCTTGGGGCCTGAGGACCAGTCCGGTGTAAGGTCTTGGGTTGACACTGCAGACCAAATTAGTGGAGGGTCCAGGCTGGGGCCTGTAGACCAGTCCAGTGGTGGGTCCTGGGCTGACACTGGTGACCAGGCTGATGGAGGGTCTAGGCCAGGGTCTATGGACCAATCCAGTGGTGGGTCCTGGGTTGGCACTAGGAACCTGGCCATGGGAGGGTCCTGGACTGGGACTGGTGATCAGTCTGGTGGTGGGTCCAAGCCTAGATTTGAGAATCAGGCCAGTGAAGAAGGGTCATGGGCTGGGGCTGCTGGCCAGGCTGGTGGAGGGTCCAAGTTGGGGCCTGAGGACCAGTCCAGTGGAAGGTCCTGGGCTGACTCTGGGGATCAAATCAGTTCAGGGTTCTTGGTTGGAGCTGTGGACCAGGCCAATGGTGGATCCTGGGCTGGGGCTGGGGATCCGGCTGGTGGTGGGGCAAAGCCTATATTTGAGGATCAGGCCAGTGGAGGAGGGTCCTGGCCTGATGCTGGGGACCAGACTGGTGGAGGATCTAGGCTGGGGTCCAGGGGCCAGTCCAGTGGAGAGTCCTGGGCTGGCACTGGGGACGAGGCCAGTGGATGGTTCTTTGCTTGCACTGGGAGTCAGACCAATGGAGGAGGGACCTGGGCTGGCACTGTGAGTCAGGTCAGTGCAGGGTCTTGGTCTGGAGCTGGGGATCAGGCTGGTGGCTGTTCCAAATCCGGATTTGAGGATCAGGCCATTGGAGGAGGGTTCTGGGCTGGTGCTGGGGCCCAAGCCAGTGTTGGGTCCAGGTCAGGGCCTGTGGATCAATCCAGTGGAGGAGGTTCCTGGGGTGGGGCTGGTGGCCAGGTCATTGGTGTGTCTAGGCCAGGGCCTGCAGACCAGTCCAGTGGAGGGTCCTGGGCTGGCAGTGGGAGTCAGGCCAGTGGAGGGTCCTGGGCTGGCAGTGGGAGTCAGGCCAGTGGAGGGTCCTGGGCTGGCAGTGGGAGTCAGGCCAGTGGAGGGTCCTGGGTTGAGGCTGGGGATCAGGCTGGTGGCTGTTCCAAACCCGGATTTGAGCATCAGACCTGTGGAGGAGGCTCCTGGACTGGTGCTGGGGAGCAGGCCAGTGGAGAGTCTTGGGCTGGGTCTATTCCTGGGAATGAGGCCAGTGGAGGGTCTAGGCTGAGGCCTGAGGATCAGGCCAGTGGAGGGTCCTGGGCTAGATCTGAGGACCAGGCCAGTGGAAGATTCCAGGTCAGTGTTGAGGTAGAGGCTAATGAAGGATTCTGGTTTGGCCCTGGGAGTGAGTCCTATATAGGGTCTTGGTGCTGGACAGAGGAAAAGACTGATATTGTTTCCATGCCTGATAATAAGGATGAGACTAGTACTGAATCCAGATCAGGGGCTGGGGAAGAGGCCATCATTAGTTCTGGGTTTGGGGCTGAGACCAAGGCCAGTACTAGGTCCTGGACTGGATCTGAGGGGGCAACATATGTGGATTCCTCTGTGGGGGCTGAGGCTGGGGCTGAGGCTGGGACTGTGACTGGAGCTGAGGCTGGAGCTGAGGCTGGAGCTGAGGCTGGAGCTGAGGCTGGGGCTGTGGCTGGAGCTGAGGCTGGAGCTGTGGCTGGAGCTGAGGCTGGAGCTGAGGCCAACATGGGGTCTTGGTCCTGGGATGGAGATGCAGCCACTACAGAGTCTATGCCTAGGGCTGGAATAGGGTCCTGGACTTTGGCTAGGGATGTAGATGATGATGAGCTAAGTACAGCATCCAGCCCTGATATTGAGGAGATCAGTTTAAGGTCTTTGTTTTGGGCTGAAAGTGAGAACAGTAATGAGTTCAAATCCAAGAGCGGTAAAGATGTCAACTGTGAGTCTGGGGCTGGGGATAAGGCCAGCATCCAGGATACGTTTGAAGCTGCTGGTGGATTCGATATAAGGTCTTGGTTCTGTGCTGATAATGAAAACAGAAGTGAGGACAAACCTGCACCCAAGGCTAAAGCCAAAAAATCAGCTGAGTCAAGAGGCACATACCCGTCCATGGTCCCTGGGGCAGGAATGGGGTCATGGGATGGAGCCATGATCTGGTCGGAAACAAAGTTTCCACACCAAAATGAGGCCAGCTTCCTAGCTGAAGATGAGTTCAGAAAGCAGATCTGGACTGGGGAGAAAGTTCGGCCCTTGTCCTGCCGCTGTAAACACGAAGCTAATATGGATCCACGAGAGCTTGAAAAACTCATTTGCATGATTGAGATGACTGAAGATCCTTCTGTTCATGAAATAGCCAACAATGCTCTGTATAACAGTGCTGATTATCCTTATTCCCACGAAGTTGTTCGTAATGTAGGTGGAATCTCAGTTATTGAAAGCTTGCTAAATAACCCCCACCCCAGTGTTAGGCAGAAGGCTTTAAACGCACTGAATAACATCTCGGTGGCTGCTGAAAACCACAGAAAAGTTAAAACATATTTAAACCAAGTATGTGAAGACACAGTCACCTATCCCTTGAATTCAAATGTGCAGCTGGCTGGACTAAGATTGATAAGGCACTTGACTATTACTAGTGAATATCAGCATATGGTTACAAATTATATTTCAGAATTTCTTCGTTTGTTAACTGTGGGAAGTGGAGAAACTAAAGACCATGTTTTGGGAATGCTTTTGAATTTCTCTAAAAATCCATCTATGACAAAAGACTTGCTCATTGCCAATGCACCAACATCACTGATTAACATTTTTAGCAAGAAAGAGACAAAAGAGAACATTCTTAATGCTCTTTCACTGTTTGAAAATATAAATTACCATTTTAAAAGAAGAGCAAAAGCATTTACCCAGGACAAGTTCAGTAAAAATTCCCTTTATTTCCTATTCCAACGACCTAAAGCATGTGCCAAGAAACTTCGAGTCCTAGCCGCAGAATGCAATGACCCTGAAGTGAAAGAAAAAGTTGAGCTATTAATAAGTAAACTCTGATTGGCTGTATGTTTCCAAACAAATTTGAGTAATATTTTGATTTTGCAGCCTGGAAGTAATGCACATGGTATATTGCATTATGACTTCAAAACTGATGTTACCTATGATGGTCTATAGCTGGCCCATTTATGAAAACCAGATGAATTCAAACTTGTACTGAAAATACATGTGTTGATTTTTATCTTGTCCGGATTGAGATATTTTTAGTATGCTTCATGAGCAGAAACTGAACTGATTCTCCATAAGTAAGGTAATCTTTGGTCCTTTGTGTGGACTTATGTTTATACATTTGAGCCTTTATTTTTATGTCATCAATAAAGTTGTGTGTTTTAAGCAGCAGAAAAAAAAGTCATTGTCCTTGTCCTTGAGTTTATGAACTATTGGGAAAGGCAAGATATATGGAAACAAAAAGATAGCAACAAATTGTGAACCTCCGATCACGCCAGATGCTTCCCATCAGTGCTGAGAAACTGCGGTGGGCAACAGTGCTCAGGGAGCTTTACAGAAGAGGGGTCACTTAAGTAAGGTAGGCTTGAAGGACAGGATACAAAAGGGCCCGAAGGGCATTCAAGGAGGATGGAGTGGTGGAAAGAAAGGCACGGAGGTGGGAATACTGCTCCAGAGAGGAGGCTGGCCCACCTGGGTTGGAAAGTGTGTGTGTAGGGGGAGTGATGGGAGATAGAGTCAGGCAGTTGGGGTGAGTCCTGGCGTGGAGGACCCCATTGCTAAACTGGGGTGTCTGAATATTACCCCATCTACGTTCAGGAGACACCAAGGCCTTTCGTGACCAGAGGAATGACAGGATGAAAGGAAAATGATGTGGTTGATTTGTGTGTGGGATGCGTCTGAGTTGAGGAGGGGACAGGAGAGGTGACTGGAGATTGGGAAACCATAGTCCAGACACAATAAGACAAAGGTGTGAAATTTCACTGGTGGCCCTGGGAATGGTAAGGAGAGGGTGGGAGTGAGAGACCTTTGAACGAATAAGTGCTGGAACCTATTCTGGGGATATACAGAGAGGGCCAATTTTCTTTTAGGGTCCTGGGGGCATTTGATAGGAAAACATTCTTTCTTGGCTAACGCTGGTATCTGTGTAAGTGAATAAGATAGTCACTATTTTGAAATAGTAATAAAATACAACATGAGGAAGAATAATGTTAGTGCTTATATCAGATTTCTTTCATAAGGTTAGTTGGGCTGGGGCCTTTATGGAACCATGGAGAGTACTGCTGGGATCCACAGAGGAGAAGATCTGCCTCTCTCCCACCCCGTAGTGATGAGGGTGTGGTAGGAGGAGCACTCTCAAACTATGCTGGCGGAGTACGCAACGGTACAAGGTCCATTGGGAGACATGTTTCAGAAGCCTTCAAGATGTGCATACCTTTTGACCCGGTAATTCCACTTGCAGAAATTTACCCTTAGGAAATAGTCAAATAGTTGATTTGTACAAAGTTTTGTATCTTCAAACTGTTTTGAAGGCTGAAAAATTGTAAACAACTCAAAGGTTTTAAACTAGGCAGTTGGCTAAACAAATTAAGGTATGTCTGCACATTAAAATATTTTGCAGCTGTTGAGAATGTTGATGGACAGCTACATTTATTTACACAAAGAAATTATCACATAATCTTCAGTGGAAAAAAATAGGCTGTAAAAGCACGTGCCATACTTTTTATGAAGAAAAAGTATGTATTTATATTATCTCTATGTATAAACTTTGGTTCATATTCTGAGAATGTTAATAGTTTTCTGTGGATGTTAGACTGGGTGGGCGATTTTATCTGTTTTTCATTCATCTGTATTTTATAATAATTATATAACAAGCAGGGATTTCTTGCATAATTTACCAAAAAGGAAGAGGATGGATTCAGGATAGGCAGGCCAGTTAATGGTATTTGAGGTGCCTAGAGTGAAAATATAAATGAAGGCTCACATAGTTATACCTAAATATTTATTTAAATATTATTTCAATAAAGCTGTAAATGTTTGAAAATTTAAATCTTATGAACTATTTAAAAAATAAAACTATTCTCAATTCTAGGATTCGATGGCCACCAACTTTTTACTGTGAAAAAAATGATATTATGCTTGTGGCGGATTCTGCCATCTGCTTCCCTGATCCCCCTTCAGGAATAAAGAGCTTATTATAATTTCAGTTGTTAGGAATAACACCAGTAGACAGCCCTCAGCTGTCGCCCTTCTTTAGGAATTGCCTCAGCTAAAGAGAGCCACCTGTCCCAAGGTCATAGCCCTTTTCTTGGGGGCAGTTTACATTCAATGACTGATGGACATGGCCTTCTTGCCCCAAATTGAGACAGCTTAACTTCTCCCTCTGTCCAATCCTGCTTCCTTCTTTTCCCTTCCACAGGTGTTGATCCTAAGAGAATTCCCTAATAAAAGCCCTTCACGCTGAACTCTGTCTCTGAGTCCACTCCCCGGGAAGCCAACCTGCAACAGTTGGTACAAGAAGTGTGAACCACTGTGATGAAATTTTGGAGATGAATTACCTGCTGCCCAGCTGGCAATGAGGACCCCATCATTGGTGGTAGGTGGAGTAGATAGGCCCCTGGAAGAAGGTGGCAGAGGGATTGTTAGAGCTTTCACTGGTAGTGAACTGGGGTGGCGTACTGGTGAAAGGGAATGCATTAACTGGTGCCGGGTAGGTATCAGATCTTTGAGAAATACGTGGGAAATATTAAATATAAGGAAGGCCAGGAAATTGGGTGGCTACTGCTGAGCTTTATTGACCTCTAGAAAAAAAAAACAAAACTTGAATGGAATTAATCAACAATTAAAAGTTATGTTTGAAAGCCAGAGGGCTTCATTCATAGCATAAAAAGCGGCTCTCATCTTTTACAGGGATGGTAGGGAAATCTGAGGACCAGGCCCAGGGCTTATTAAAAGCAAGTTTCAAAGAAAGTTTAAATTCCAACCAAGACATGTTTTCTATGCCAAGATCAGGGCCCTGGTTAGGAAGGAATGGGACCTTGACTCATGGGATGGGGACATCTGGATTGATGTCCCTAAAAATCTTGTATCTCCAGATTCTCCTAAACCTCTTGAACATTCAGAAGTGTCCCACTCCTCCCTATTAAGGGCTAGCACTCCACCTTGCTTGAACATGCAGAGCCCTTTCCCTGTAAGATAACACGGGTTTCCCTCAGAATCTGCTCCCACCTCCCATCCTGACAACTGGCTCCATAACTAGGGTTAAGCCACAGCATAACCTAGCTAGGGATATGCTGGGCCTAGTAAAGAAGGAAAGGGAATATGCCAACAGGGAGTTGCAGGGCCTAACCTGGCCGGCATGTACTAGTAGGTGCTGAGGGAGTAAGCATGGGACTGAATTCTGAGGAGCTTGATCAAAGGGCTGGAATATAAAATTGGACAGAGGAGAATGAATAATTTGAGAGTGGTCTCCCAGGATACAGGATTTAACATCCTGGCAAAGACCCCAGGAGATGGTGTGAACTCACTACTAGGATGACTCCTCAAAGTATGGAAAAAACAATGGCCCTAATTAAGTGAGGTATAAATGCCAGAATTGCCATAGCAGATGGTGGAAGAAGGGACTAAAGACTCAGAGAAGTGGGAATGATAGAGTAAATATATTATATCATGCCAAGAAAATCCCAGAAGACTATATTCTGCAGGAGGATGTAAAGAACACACTATTTACCAAAGCTATAAGGAATGCACTGGTGAGAAGGGCACCAGCATCTCTAATAAGTTCAGTGGTGGCTCTCGTCAGCAGGTCAGGGCTCAGAGTAGGAGAGGATGTTATGGAATGAGGATCACTGATAAAAATGGTGATGAAACATCACCTGAGACAATAGAGGCAGGATGGCTGCACTTAACTGTTAGAAGTCAGATGGATGCAAATACCATAATGCACTGCAGGGTTAGAGTAGCAGGTGGGGAGGCCTGACCTGCAGAGAGCTATGGAGATGGTTAATAGAACACAGTGTCCCTGGCAGATAGATGATTAAGAGATAGTTAATAGGACATGGACAGTCAATATAACGCAGTGCCCTGGGGAAAATAGACCGCCAACAATTTGTACTTAGTTCTGTAGAATCAAAAGAAATCAAAGGTAGTTGGGAGTCTGAGGGAAGTTGCCTCAGTAAAAAGTCACAATCCCTTGCCCAGCTTCTGGTTCCAAGTCAGTTTTTGATTTGGAGCACACTATTTGAAGAGAGGCTGGGTGCCTAGGAAGAAGAACCCTGCAACACATGCACAGTAATGATTTCTCCAGTTCTTCCATTTATTCAAGTAACTGTGTGCCAAGGAAAGAGGAATATGCAGACATTTTGAGAGCAGGTGGACACTGGTTCTGAGTCGATACTAACACCCAGAGACCCAAGTGCCATCGTGTCTCTCCCCCTGCCAGCCCAGTTAGAATGGGGGTATATGGGAGCCAGGTATTAAAATGGGATCCTAGCCTAGGTCTGGTTCACAGTGGGCCCACTGTGTCCACAGACTCGCCCAGTGGTTATTTTCCTGATATCTGAATGTATAATTGATAGACGTTGTTGGTAGCTCGTACAAGCCCCATAGTAGTTCCTTAGCCTGTGAAGTCAGAGCTATTTGTAGACAAGAAGGCCAAGTGGAAATTTCTGAAACTGCCCTCCTTTTCCCTGGCCAAGATAGTAAATGAAAACATATAGCATCCTGGGGGGGAAAGGTATGGCAGAAATTAGAGCCACCTAGAGAATGCAGGCGTGTAGTCTCCATTGAATCTTCATTTGACTCACCAGTTTGGCTCACTGCAAAATATGGACAGAGCCTGGTGAGTGGCAGTAGACTATTGCAAACTCACTCTAGTAGTAGGACAATTGCAATGGCCATGCCAGATATGGTATCTTTGCTAGAGCAGATTAACATGGCCTTGGGTACTTAATATTCAGCTATTGATTTGAAAAATGTGTTTGTTTTTCTCTCTGAGTCTGAATGGAACATCAGAAAAAGTTCACAGTCATGTAGAATGGACAACAGTATGCATTTACAGTTTTTCCTCAAGGATCTACTAACTCTCATGTCCTCTGTCATAATATAGTCTGAAGAGATCTGGACCATCTGAACATTCTTCAGAATATACTAGTTCACTATGTGGATGACACCATGCTAATTGGACCAAAATGAGTAAGAAAGGGCTAGCACATTGGGGGCCTTGGTAAGACACATGCACTATATATGGGAGATAAACCCTCTGAAAATCTGGGGGCCTGCCACATTAAATGTAATTTTTAGGGGTTAAATGGTCTGGGAAATGCCAGAAGACCACCTCCAAAGTAATGGACAAATTAGTGCATTTTCCACCTTTTTCATAAAGAAGGAAGATCAACACCTGG